CAATGGGATCTGATGCCCTCTTCTGGTGTGTCTGAAGAGAGAATGGTGAATACATAAATAAATAAATCTTTAACAAATAAAATAAATAAATAAAAGACAATAAAATACCCTTTAAATAAAATAAATAAATAAAATGAAACCTCCCTCTAGGCAAAAAAGCAAAAACAAAAACAAACCAGAAAGACTTTGAAAGAAAACAATTGTCCTTCTGGTCTGTGCCCTAGCACTAAGCAGATCCCGGGCAGCTGCTCTGCACCCAATCTCACAAAACCCAGAGGAAGCGGGCCTTCCAGGAGCTCTGACTCGGGCAGCATCTTAGGTAAGGAGACAGCAACGCCCACCCCAAGCAGGGAGTAACTGGGACACACTAGGACCCAGGAATTCACTCCTGGCCCAGAGCACTGGTTCCTTCCGGTCTGGGCCCAAGCTCTAACCCTAGTAGTAACACCTTCTCACACATTTCTGAAACAATCAAGATAGTAGGAAAGACAGGCTCCAGTCAGAGACAGGGCAGGTAGCACTAAGGAGATCCAGATGGTGAAAGGCAAGCTCAAAAACATAAGCATCAGCAACCCAGGGTACTTGGCATCATTAGAACCTAGTTCTCCCACACTAGAAAGTCCTGAATTCCCCATATCACCAGGAAAGCAAGATTCAGATTTAAAATCACTTCTAATGATGATGACAGAGGACTTTAAGAAGGACATAAATAGGCCAGGGAGTGATGGCACATGCCTTTAATCCCAGCACTTGGGAGGCAGAGGCAGGCGGATTTCTGAGTTCCCGGCCAGCCTGGTCTGGTCTACAGGCTGAGTTCCAGGACAGCCAGGACTACACAGAGAAACAATGTCTCAAAAAACCAACCCCCTCCCAAAAAAAGGACATAAATAACACTCTCAAAGAATTTGAGGAGAACACAGGTAAACAGGTAGAAGTCCTTAAAGAGGAAACACAAAAATCCCTTAAAGAATTACAAGAGAACACAACCAAACAGGTGAAGGAATTGAACAAATCCATCCAGGACATAAAAATGGAAGTAGAAACATTAAAGAAAGCACAAAGGGAGACTACCCTGGAGATAGAAAACCTAAAAAAGAAATCAGGAGTCATCCATGCAAGCATCACCAACAGAATACTAGAGATAGAAGAGAGAATCTCAGGTCCAGAAGATACCATAGAAAATATTGACACAGCTGTCAAAGAAAACGCAAAATGCAAAAAGTTCTTAACACAAAACATACAGGAAATCCAGGACACAATGAGAAGACCAAACCTAAGGATAATAGGTATAGATGAGAGTGAAGATTCCCAACTTAAAGGGTCAATAAATATTTTCAACAAAATTATAGAAGAAAACTTCCCTAACCTAAAGAAGGAGAAGCCCATAAACATACAAGAAGCCTACAGAACGCCAAATAGACCAGACCAGAAAAGAAATTCCTTCCGTCACATAATAATCAAAATACCAAATGCACAAAACAAAGAAAGAATATTAAAAGCAGTAAAGGAAAAAGGCCAAGTAACATATAAAGGCAGACCTATAAGAATTACACCAGACTTCTCACCAGAGACTATAAAAGCAGAAGATCCTGGACTGACGTCATACAGACCCTAAAAGAACACAAATGCCAGCCTTGGCAAAACTCTCAATTACCATAGATGGAGAAACCAAGATATTCCATGACAAAACCAAATTTACACAATATCTTTCCACAAACCCAGCATTACAAAGGATATTAGCGGGAAAACTCCAATACAAGGAGGGAAATTATACCCTAGACAGAGCAAGAAAGTAATCCTCTTACAACAAATCCAAAAGATAGCCATACAAAGATAATTCCACCTCTAATAACAAAAATAACAGGAAGCAACAATCACTGTTCCTTAATGTCTCTTAACACCAATGCACTCAATTCCCCAATAAAAACACATAGGCTAACGGACTGGATACGTAAACAGGACCCAGCATTTTGCTGCATACAGGAATCCCACCTCAGTGACAAAGTCAGACACTACCTTAGAGTAAATGGCTGGAAAACAATTTTTCAAGCAAATGGTCCTAAGAAACAAGCTGGAGTAGCCATTCTAAAACCTCCACCCATGCCGGGCGGTGGTGGCACATGCCTTTAATCCCAGCACTTGGGAGGCAGAGGCAGGTGGATCTCTGAGTTCGAGGCCAGCCTGGTATATAGAGTGAGTTCCAGGACAGCCAGGGCTACATAGAGAAACCTTGTCTCGAGAAACCAAAAAATAAAAATTAAAAAAAAACAAAAACCTCCAGCCGGAGAACACAAAGGGAGGTACTCATGGCTCCACCTGTATAGGTAGTTGAGGGTGGCCTTGTCAGGCTTCAGTGGAAGTGGAGGGCCTTGGTACCCAATAGTTTGGATTCCCCAGTGTTGAGGATGGTGAGAGCACACCCTCAAAGAAACTCCCAGAATAATATGGATTAGATATGATAGAGACAGGCCACCAGAAGACTAGATTCCAGAATTCAAACAAAAAAGTATCTTGATACTAAAATTTGTTTTGAGAATTGTATATTGCAGAATACACAGCCTTGGTGTATCTACTCATCGAAAAAGCTGAGAAGACCCGCTCGAACTTCTGATGTCCTGGAATTTCAGCTGAATGCAGTGAAGACACAGACCTCAGAGGCTTATCAATTTACTCTTCCTCCCACCCCTCTTCTAATATCTCAATGCCCATAACCAGCTTGAAGAAGTTAATGAAGAGTCAGTGCCCCTATTCCCTGGGCTTGGGGACTGAGGTGGTTAATACTGGGCTGTCTTTCTAGGGAAAAAGCAGTGGTTTTGTTGGAACAGGGAGGAATAGCTAGGATTTATTGCATAGCCATAACATATTGGTAGAAATCTGTATAATCGTTATTAAGCTGAAGTTATAATTTCTTAAATGGTACAAAATTTGCTTTGACTTCAAATTTAAGGTTTTCATTGGTGCGAGTTTCTTATTGATACAGAAGTGAGATTAATATTGTTACTCTCATAGGCATTGTGCCTATATAACACATTTAGGAATATAAGGCTTAGGCCCAGTCCTTCTTTAACTTTTTTAACTGATTTGAGATGGTTAACCTGTGAGTTAAGGGCCTATAGCAAATTCATGGCTCTGAGTTTATTGTTAGGGTGTTTTCTATATTTTATTTAGAAATAGCTGAGAGGAGTTAACAGACAACAGTCCAGATTGCCATACATGGATAGTTGGTTTTCAAAACGTCAAAAGTCCACAGAATTGACATTACAAACATTTCTGCATTAAGGTTCATTTTGATTAGAGACCTATCTGCTCCTGACAGCTGCCTGTCTTAGATTCTAAGAAGAAATTGAGTGTCTTTAGAGTTACTCCAGTTGTGGTTGAGACAGCCACTACACAAGAATGCCCTCTTTTCATCTACAACAAATTACTGTCCTGAAAAGGACACACTTGCAGAATAGACAACTGATTATATCTGCCACGACAGAGTAATCAGCCCTTAATAATTCTGCATCACTAGGTCTGTCAGATGATCCTGGGCCAGAAGGCTGAAGATCGGATGCTCCAACGTTTTGTAGTATAGGGACTGTCCAGGTGTTCAGCAGACTCTATAAATTGGCTGTGTTTTAGAAGCTATGCTTTGTGCTTCCCATAATTTCAGTTAATTCAGTCATTCTGGATTTCTGATGGGGTTGAAGACTTATAGTCTCATAGCCAATCCCGGCTATTTACCTTGAGAGAAAAGACTTGAGAGGATGGTTTTCAGCTGACATTCATTCTAAAGCCAAGAAAAAAGCCAGGTTCTGTACTAAGTCTTTTAGTTAGGAGAGATGACAGAGGTTCAGGTTTGTCAACAAAATAATGGACTGGGTATTAGGTCTTTCTTGTACCTTACTGATACAAATTGTTATAGTTATGCTCTAATTGTATTTTGAGAGAAAAGTTTTATCTTTACAGGAAGGGTGATATGTAGGAGGAGCAATGGTGGCAGGAGTAAGGAGAAGAGGAGGAGCTAGGAGATGAGAAAGAAAGGGGAGGGAGGAGAACATGGAGACTGTCTGTGCCAGTCAAAGATAGTTGGTATATCTAGGTTGGGTATTGGGTTACACTTCTGATTGTATGGTTATCTTGTTATTGAGCATTACTGAACTTATAAAGCCTTTGATTAACATTTTAAAAGAATAAATAAAAATAAAGAAAAAAAAGAAAGAAAACAATAATAAGTGACTGAAACAGCTGCAGAGGCAGCTCATCAGGTTAGACAGTCTGCTGTGCAATGCTGAGGCTCACAGTGGGTCAGAAAAGCCATGTGCCAGCCTGTACATCCTGTGCACACCTACAACCCCAGCTCAGAAGGCAGAAATAGCAAGATCACTCGGGCTCACTGGCTTCCACCCTAACCACGAAAATATAAACCTGGGTCCAGGGAGAGCCCGTGCCTTAGAGTAATTGACAGAGAGTGACACAGGACACCTAGTGCCCTCTTCTGGTCCCTACACATATATGCATAGACCCACACAGACACATATGAATAAAGTTAAAAAAAAAGGCAGACACAGTGGCTCATGATTATAATGTCAGCACTCAGAAGGTAGAGGCAGGAGACGTGCCAGAGTTTGAGGACACACGCATCTGCAGAGGAAGCTCCAGGCCACCTAGGGCTACAAAACACAACTCGTGTATGTGTGTGTGTATGTGTGTGTGTTTGTGTGTGTTCTGGTGTGTGCATTAGTGTGTGTGGTACTGAGGACCAAAGCAACCCCTCTGCTTGTAAGCTGTGCCATCATCTAACTGCTCAGTGCTTTACTATGAAGAATTCATTCATGTATTCATTCACTTACATCACATCCCATACTCTCAATGCAGCATTTGCTTACATGGAGCCATAAAAAATATGTCAGTTCTTATTTGCTCGAACAGGCAATGGAACCACATTCTCTATGCAAAATATATCAGGTTTTCAAACTGTGACAGAAATGAAAGGCATACTTATCTTGAATAGTTACCTGTACAAAAGCAACTCCTGCCATCAGAATTACTAGGGAGAGCCACTGGTACACACCTAATTTTTTACCAAGCATAGACACAGAAAATAATGCTGTTGTAAGTATTTTCAACTGATATGTAACCTAAAAAAGAAAACAGCAATATTATTGTTTGGGTTTTTTGTTTATTTGTTTTTTAAAAGAATTATTAGAACTGTATCTAGGCACCTGGTAAGTGGCGGCGTCTAAGTTTGACAGTGCCACATAGAGTAAGTTGTTCTGGAGAGTATATATCCCTGACGGAATAGCAAGCTTCAGTGTTTCCATTGGTTTATTAAGAATTTCATCATGCAGTACTCTATTCAGTGTTCTCACACTACACTCTAGAAGAAATAAAATGGGGGGCAATCAGTTAGTAAAGTATCTTTGCAGAAATCATAAGCTCTTTCTTTCTTTATAGGACTCAAGTTTTCTCACTTTAAAAACAGAAAATGGGGGCAGGAGAGATGGCTCAGCAACTAAGAGAAAGCACTGCTCTTGCAAAGGATCAGAGTTTGATTCCTAGTACCCACACTGGGTGGCTCAAAACCACCTGTAACTCCAGCTTCATATGGATCTCACACATCTGAACTCTGTGAGCACACGCACTTTGGTTCCCTCCCTCCCTCTCTCCCCCCCCCCCAAGTTTTAAAATAAATCCTTTTTTTTTTTTTTTAAAGAGACATGTTTCTTAGTATAGCCCTGGCTGTCCTGAAACTCACTCTGTAGATCAGGCTGGTCTCAAACTTAGGCATCCACCTCCCTCTGCCTCCCAAGTGCTGGGATTAAAAGCCTGCACCACCATATGTGGTTAAAATAAATCTTTAAAAACAGGAAAACAAGCTACACTGGGATACTTTTCAGTACAAAGTATGCTTTTGATGCTAGTTGTTCAAATGTTAAATATTACAGAGTAGCATATTGACATCATTATCCCTATACTAATTTGTGCTGGAAAAGCACAAGATTGACTCTGTAGGGGCTGGAGAGAAGGCCCAGCAGTTAAGAGTACTGGGTACTCTTATAGGGGGCCAGGGTTCTATTCCCAGAACCTACGTGGTAGCTCACAACCACCTGTTACTCCAATTTCAGGGGGTATCTATAATAAGAATACGGGATAGAAAAGATCAACTGTAAGTACAAATACACATACAAATACATTTTTAAATTTTTACATTTATTCTTCTCTCATATATCTCAGCTGCAGTTTCCTCTCCTTCCTCTCCCCTCCCCCAAGTACCCTTTCTACCCTTTCTCATTTGACTCATTTCCTTTCAGAAAAGGACAGGCCTTCCATGGAAATCAACCAAACATGGCATATCAAGCTGCAATCAGACTAGACACCTCCCCTAATATTACATCTGGATGAGGGAATGCAGCAGGAGGAAAAGGGACCCAAAAGCGGACAAAAGACGCAAAAACCAGCCCCACTCCCACACCCCATTAGGAGTCCCACAAGAAGACTAAGCTATACAAACATATGCAAAGGACCTAGGTCAGAACCATGAAGGCTCCCTGACTGTTGATTTAGTCTCTGTAAGCATCTCTGGGCCCAGGTTACTTGATTCTGTGGGTTTTCTAGTAGTGTTCTTGACCCCTCTGGCTCCCAGAATCCTTCTTCCCTCTCCTCTACTTGATTTCCTGAAATCCACCCAGAATTGCTCAAATTATTAATCAATCAAAAAAGTGTTCTTTTTCGTAAGTAACTTTATAAAACTCTGTATTTTATTCATTCTTCAGCCTCTCATGCTGATTGTCAACATATTAATCATTAAAAGAAGGCAAAGCAGCTAGGAAGTGGCGTTGCTACAACCACAGACAAGTGAACTTCCAGCTCAACTTGTCTCAAGTAGCAGGAGTCCAGATGTAAACCTTCCATAGCAGCTTGGGGACACGGGCTCTCTGTATGTAGATATGCTGGCTTGTTAAAGCTGTATTTTTCACCTGCCTCTAAGCTATACACCCCAGACCAGCCAGTTAGGTTTCCCCCTCTGAGAATTATCCATCAATAGTTTTTTTTTTTTTATTGGATAGTTTATTTACATTTCAGATGTCTTCCCCTTTTGTCCCCACCCCATCTATATTTTTCTAATGACCCTTTGTCTCTGTCTTACTGTGCTGTAGTTCTCTGTAATTCTAGGTACTTGTTGCGGGTTATGTGTACGGTTTGTTTCTTCACTTGCTTTGATACAGTTTTTCAGTTTAAGATGAAAAAAATTCCTGCTCCCCTAAAGCTCCCTCCACTTATGCCTTAGTTTGTTTTTATAGTTGTTTGAAATCATTCACAGTACCAAGGTCACACTGATTTTCAGTTTGGTTTGGTTTGTTGAAGCAAGTCTTATTATGTAGCCCATGCTAGTCTGGAGATCAAAACATAGCCTAGGTTGGCCATGGACATACAAATTCTCTCACTTCAGTCTCCAAAGTACCCGAAACTCTCAAGTACTAGAGCTATAGGCATGTGCCACTTTGCTCAGCTTGGCTTTAATTAAAATGTCAACATTTCTGCCACATGAAATTGGTTTGTGCTTTTGTGACAAGATCTCACGTAGCTTCCTTCAGAGTTGCTATGTAGTCAAGAATGACCTTGAACCTCTGGTCTTGCTGCTGCAACTCCTAAGTTCGAGAATTACAGATGTGTTCCACCTGGCACAGCTTTACACAATGCTCTTTATTTTACTTCATATGTAGTAGTGTTTTGCCTGCATGCTTATTTCTGAACTATCTGTGTGCCTGTATCCATGGAGGCCAGAATACAGCAGCAAATCCTCTGGAACTGGAGCTATAGGCAGTTGTAAGCTGCCATTTGAGTGCTGGGAATTGAACTCTGGACCTCTGTAAGAAGAGTCAGTATCAACCCCTGAGCCATCTCTTCAGCCCCTGAAACTTAACTATTAAGTACCAACTAAACAACTTTCTCAGCCCTGGAATTCATCTTGGTATACTGTGTACAGATACCTAGTCATGCTTAAGCTCACTGAAAGCTGGTTTTACCACATCTAGACATAATGCAACTATTCTTGTTAGAGGTTTCCTGGCTCCAGGGTTAAGTGCAGTAGATACTTGTAATATCTAGACCTTAGCAAAAAAAGTAACCTCTCTGCTTTCCTGACACTGTCACGTCCTGCTGGTAGCTCATTTATAGTCCTCTCATTGATGACACCTTCTGAATGGGGCCTCTGAGTGCTGGGAATGAGCCAGGGTATTTTTCAGTCTTCTTTTCCTCTAGTGTACATATTACCTGGTCTTGTCCTTGGCTTTAAGTGCTTCATAGGTATTTTCAACTTAACATGAATCAAAAGGAAATCATTTGATTTATCCCCAAAAATATCTTCCCTGTATCTTTTACTGTCATATTTATACAAACAACAATTTAATCTAAAAACCTACAAATCATTCTTAAAACTGTATCTACCCTCTTTCCTGACCTTCACATATATAATGTACTAGTCAAGTCATTATCAAATGTTTACCATTATTAATGATTAGAGGCATGCAAGTCAAAACCACAATGAAGTACCTCTTCATACCTAAAATGGCTATAATGAAGGGTGGGCAGAGTCTAGGGCACAACTCAGATTACAGCCATTTGTCTGGTATACATGAAGCTGTAGATCTGAACACACACACACACACACACACACAGAGAGAGAGAGAGAGAGAGAGAGACAGAGAGACAGAAAATATGATAGACAGGAAAAAAAAACATGGTGAGAAAATAGAAATTTCATACACTGCTAGCAAAACCTATAAAGTGGAGGTTGGCAAGATGATCCAGTAGGACTTGGGAGGCAGAGGCAAGCAGATTTCTGAGTTCGAGGCCAGCCTGGTCTACAGAGTGAGTTCCAGGACAGCCTGGGCTATACAGAGAAACCCTGTCTTGAAAAACCAAAAAAAAAAAAAAAAAAAAAAAAATGATCCAGTAGGTAGGGTAGGTGTGGTGAAGGCGCTAGCTGTCAAGCCTGACAATCTGAGTTCAAGCTCCAGGATCCGTATGGCACAAGAGAGAACTGATTCCTCCATGTAGTCCTCTGACCTCTACACTTACACAATGGCACATACTCATACCTCCCTCTCACAATAAATAAATAAAATGTGATGAAAAATTAATAAAATAAAACAGAATGGTGGAAAAGTTTGATAATTCCTTAAAAAGTAAACAAAGAGGACTTGCAAGATGTCTCACTGGGTAATGGCACTTGCCACCAAACCTGATAACCTGCATTTAATCCCAGAGACTCACATAGTGAAAAGAACAGAACAGATTCCCACAAATTGTCCTTTGACCTACACACACATACCATGGTACATGCACACCCAGAACATACTTATGTGCAATACATTTCTTTTAAAAAAGATGTATATGAAGAACAACCAGATGACAATGACCCAGCAATTGTGCTTTGGTGGTGGGAAGGGATATAAACACATAGCCTCCATCCAAATGAATGCAAAAACGCCAACATATACTTGGACAGCTATTGCAGCATTAACCATTGTTTCTTCTAACATGGTTCATGGTAGCCAAAAGGTAGAAATAATCAGTGGCTACCAACACATGATTAAGAAAAAAGTATATATCGTATACTATATAATATATAAAAAACAGGCCGGGCGGTGGTGGTGAGCGCCTTTAATCCCAGCACTTGAGAGGCAGAGGCAGGCGGATTTCTGAGTTCGAGGCCAGCCTGGTCTACAGAGTGAGTTCCAGGACAGCCAGGGCTACACAGAGAAACCCTGTCTCAAAAATAAATAAATAAGTAAATAAATAAATAAGTAAATAAATAAATAAATTTATATATAAAATTTGACACATAAGCTTTGAAAATATTATGCTAGTGAGCTAAGCCAAATATAAGAGAATGAACATTACATAATCCACCTTATATGAAATATGTAGAATAGGTAAATTGAGAAGCAGAATCTAAGTCAGAGGTAACTAAGAACTGGAAGAAAGGTGAATAAGGAGTTACTACTTAATAGTCATATAGAATTTCTGCTCAGTTGTATTGAGAAAGCTCTGGCAACAGTGATAGCTATCCAATATTGTAAATATAAAAATGCATTGTTACAATAACAAAATCTCATGTACACATGCACACCCACTTGCACACACATTATCACAACTTAAAAATTAAAGTCAGGTAACAATCAATTGTAAGCTAGCACCATAGAAGGCTAATATAGAATGATCAAGAATTTATAGCCAGCTTAAATGACAGAATAAGGCACTATCTCAAGAAAGAAAAACAAAACTCACAATTGCATACTCTAAAAATCTGCCTGAGGACTGGAGAGAGGTGGCTCAGTGGTTAAGAGTACTGACTGCTCTTCCAGAGGACCTGAGTTCAATTCCCAGCAGCCACATGGTGGTTCACTACCATCTGTAATGAGATCTGATGTCCTCTTCTGGTGAGTCTGAAGAGAGCTACAGTGTACTCATATACATAAAATAAATAAATCTTTTGTTTGTTTGTTTGTTTGAGACAGGGTTTCTCTGCATAGCTTTGGCTGTCCTGGAACTCACTCTGTAGACCAGGCTGGCCTTGAACTCAAGAAATCTGCCTGCCTCTGCCTCCCAAGTGCCTGGCATAAATCTTTAAAAATAAATAAAAATCTGCCTGCAAAAGGCTAAGCTGAAGCTGGAATGTACCCCAGTGGTAGAGCAAGTGCATATGCTTAGGATATGCAAAGCCCAAGGCTCAATCTCTAGAACCAAAGAACAACTATGCAGTTCATACATTATATCCCAGTGAAAATCTTTAAACTGTACCAAATGAGTGACTCACTGTTGAATTAGTCAGTGTAACTAGTAAAAGTCTTCAGTAAAGAGAGTTATTATGGACTTTATAATTCAAACAAAGCACTAGAGAGTCTACTTTTTCTCAAATTAATAAAGTATAAATACAACTAGGATTCATACTCATTGTACTAATTATGCATGGATTGTGTTACAGACTGTACATAATAGTTTTAGTACAAACCAAAATTGGTACTAACACAATTATGTGTGCATGTGTATGTGTGCACATGAGTTGATGTTGGCTGTCTTTCTAAGTGGCTCTTCACCTTAGTTTAGACAAGTTCTCTCACTAAACCTCAAGCTTGTCAAGGAAGCCAGACTGGCAGGCCAGCAGGCTCCTGGGGTCCTCCTAGTTCCACCTCCCAATGACAAACTCACAATACCATACCCAGACATTTTTGTGGGTGCTAAAGATCCAAACTCAGGTCTTCACACTTGCACAGAGAGTGTTTTACCAGTTGGGCCATCCCCTTGAGCCCTGTCTTAATAATTTTTTTCAAAAATATTGGAATGTTAAGTCTAGGGAAATTAAATAATGCAAATGATCAAATGTATAATTACAATTATATTTACATATATAAAAATTAAACTGATCACATAAATTAAAAGGAAAAAACACCCTAGATACCTACTACTGTCTTTGTAGACTAAAAAGATGCAGGCCATTATCTTCAAAAATTCAGCCACAACCACTGCTGTAGAAGACAAATAACGAGGCCCCTCCTCTTTTAAAGTCCTAGAATAACGCATCGTTAGAACCAGACTGGTAGTCTGAAACACCAAAATTCCCAAGGAAAGATATTTTAGGTTGGCAGACATTGTTTTCTCTTCATTTGTCTGAAAAACAAAATAAACAGGGCAAGTTAATCAAATTAAAAACTACAGAAACTAATATCCAACAAGAGACAGAGGTTCCAAACAAGACAAGCATCCTCTTTCTAATTACAAGACAAAAAAAAAAAAGTCAACAACACAAAACAAGCCAAAGATAGGCATCTGCCAGAAAACTCAGGCTGAAGAAAACAGTGCAAAACTGATTCAGGTCTGAGGGATGGGTGAGCACTGAAATCTTGGATACTCTTGCCTACCTATGTATTCTATATTCAAGTGCTACAGCACCATATAGTCTAGAACTGCCACCAATGTAGAACAACAAAACAGCCGAGGAGAACTCAGTTTCTCTAGGCAAACAACTAAAGACAGCTGTCCTAAAATTCTCTGACCTCCACATGTACACCATAGCACACATGTACCCACAAATACACATACACACATGCATGCACACATACACAAAATAAATTATATCATAACACACTGAAACATAATTTTTGAAAACAATATATGCTATATAATTCTGTTTATATAGAATTCTTTTAAAAAGGAGCAAAACTAATCTGTGTTGATAGACTTAAGACTGACTGTGTGACGAGTTAGGACTGAGAGGTGACTACAAAGGCGTAGTAAAGAATTCTATGTGATTACAATTATTCTGAGTAGTAATTATATAATGATATTGACTTATTAAAAACCACAGGACGGCAGTTAAAGTAGGCACATCTTATTGTAAGTAAATTAAACATCAGTTAAGCCCACTTTAAAACTTAGTGGTCAAGGCCACACAAAATGACAGCATTCTCCACCAGGGTTTCCTGTAGCCTTGGCTCAGGCTAGAGTATCTTTGGATTAACACCAGGCATATTCTATTCCTGTGGTCTTTGCTGAACTCTCTTTCCATGACTTCCATCTTCCACTCAAATTCTTCAAATCTGTATGAACTTTTATAGTACTTTTTTTTTCTGAACACTCACAGCCAAGCTATTTAGAGCACTAGATAAATGACCACCCCACAACTACTAACTACTAAAATAGTACATGATTGAGTAGATTCAGCAATCACTAGTCTAAGTACCATGTTTACAGAGACTACACCCCTTGTCTTTCTTTCTCTGAGACAGAGCCCTGGCTGGCCTGGAACTTGATATGTACAGCAGGCTGACTTGAATTCAACAGAGATTTGTTTGCCCCTGACTCTCGAGTGCTGGGCTTAAAGCCATGTGCCACCATGACAGATAGAAACCTACTCTTAAAATGAATATTTATATTTATTTTAGGTGCATGAGTGTTTTGCATATATATATATATGTATGTGCACCATGTGTGTTCCTGGTATCCATGGAAGTCAGAAAAGGGTATGGAATTCCCTGTAACTGCAATTAGGTTGGCTGTGAGCCAGCATGTGTGTGCCAGGAACTGAACCCAGGTCTTTTTCAAGAACAGTAAGTGCTCTTGACAACTAGGCCATCTTTCTAGCCCTTTAAAATATTTGACATTAGTATTTTAGTATTTTGTGTGTGGGTGTTTTCCCTGCATGTATATCTGTGTACCATGTAAATGCAATGCCTGCCGAGGCCAGAAGACAGTACTGTATCCTCTGGAACCAGAATTACAAACTACTGTAAGCTACCATGTGGGTGCCTGAGCCCAGGTCCTTTCAAGAGCAGCCAGTGTCTTAACCACTGAACCATCTCTCCAGGGCTAAAAAAAAAAAAAAAAAACTATTCCTGAAGACAAAAATGATATTTAGGAAATTTGGCAATCTCTACCTACATCTAAATATATTCTAAACATAAACAATGCCACATTATAAGGATAAAAATTTTAATGATGAAAAACACATATTTACCACTAAATGCACATACATAAATCACTGGAGATATTATTGGAGGCATTTTATTTGAATTTCAGAGACAAAAGTTAAGCATATACTTCTTTACCACACCTCACAGGAGCAAACACATAGACTTCTTTATTAACCATCTGCCTCACTTCTGAAAACTCTTAATAGCAAAGAAAGTCCTAATGTGAACTACAACAAGATCATTAGTGGTAGTTCATACTTTAGAATCTAAGTTAATTGCTCTTCATTTTAAAAATGAACAAAATGGTGAATAATAAAGTCTGACAACTTGTTCAAGATCACATAATTAGATATTAGAAATAGCAGCTCATTTAGTTAAACATCTTTCCTGGCTCATAGTACACAGTACTGTAAAATGCCAGGACACTACGCTGCCTTTTCTTCTCTCTACACAGAAAGTTGTCAGCAACTCCCCAAAATATCAAAGAGTGATTTCAAATATGGTCAAGGAAGTCAGCTGTGTGTTTATCCTGTGCTACCAAGATCATTAATACATCTATTTTAACGACAATGTTCCAATTTATTAGCAAACAAAAATGTAAAGGTCAGTTTCTGGCCAGGCATGGTGGTGCATGCATGTAATCCCAGCACTTGGTGGTCAGTTGCAGAAGATCACCACAAACTCAGGGACAGCTGGTTTACATAACTGCGTCCCAGGCCACCCAGGGTTACATAGTTAGACTCCATCTCAATAAGTAAACAAATAACTTTCTAAGCCAGCATGTACTTTCACAATTTTGCTTTTCCATTACCAAACATACACACATCTGTATACACGTTTTCAAAGGGCTTCTTAGTGCTTTGGTCTCTTGCTTTTAAACCACACTGATGTAAATAGCAATCATGTAGTTCCCACCTCTCGAAGTCCTTTATGTCCTATGGATAGGAATTGATTCTAGGTTTGGTTAGAGCCTCTTACAGAGCCCTCCCTTTCCCTTGTCTATGTAACGAGGATCAAACTCAGATCTTGACATATCCTAGGCAAGTTCTTATCATTGAGTTACACTCCCAGCCCTCATCAATAAATCTTGCACTTGCTTACTAACTGCCATATTTCATCTGAATTGCTGAGTGCATTTAATATTTTTAAAGTTGAGTTTATTATATTTAAATTTCTTTGAGGGAAAACATACCACAAAAATTAATCAATCTATATTCCACTCCCTGAGATTCAATGAGTTCAGATGATGGCTTGATCATAATTTACTTTTACATTTTGAACAACAGACAAAAAAATTACAACTCTTTTTTCAAATTCCAAGAGATTCTCAGTAATTATTTAAGAGTCTTTGGAAAAAGAGAAAACTCAAAACAAAACAGAGGGATAGAGACATAGCTAAGAATAGGGCGCTTGCCCACTATGTTTACGTGAGACCCTGGGTTGCATCCATAGGAATACAAAGAAAAGAAACAATGGGTTTTCAAATATCTGAAAGGCCAGGCATGATGATGCATGCCTTTGATCCCAGCACTCCAGAGGCAGGCAAGCAGATCTCTCTCAGGCCAGTCAGGGCTACAGACTGTCTCAAAAAACCAAAACAACAACAAAAACAACAACAACAAAAAACTCCTATAAATATAGCAGAACCTACAATTTAAATATATAGTAACTATGTCCTTTATTTTCATTAAAGTGGTTCCTTTAGGACCCAAAGATCCTGTTTTATAAAGATGTGACAAGCAATTCTAAGTTATTTCAAGTGTTAAATAATAGTAAGCTGTGGGTTAATCCCCAGCACTGCAAACACACATAAATGCATGCATACACACATGCATGCCACAATGCATATACATCATTACTGTACATTATTACTGATGACCACCTTTCCCTTAATTAATGAGGATTACTGTGATTAGATGTTAGTTGAATTACAGATATATATTAATTTCTGAAATACTCAAAATACCATATGCTGCCAGACACGATGACACATGCCTTTAATCCCAGCACACAGGAGGCAGTGGTGGTAGGATGTCTATGAGTCTAAAGACAGCTTATTCTACATAGCAAGTTTCAAGATGCCCAGAACTACATAAGAGACACCCTGGCCCAAAACAAAACCAAAAACTACCATACACCAATCATGTATATTCATCTTTATAGGTATACCCTTATAGACAAATCTGAAAATCCATATGGCTGCAGACTTACTTCCAGTGATTTACTAAGGCTTGCACATACTAGTCAAAAACTCCTCCAGTAAGCCACATCCTCAGCCGACATTTTGGTGCCTACAAGTTCCTAGTATATTCCAAGTTAAACACCTTTCACTGTTTCTCATTGCCCTTTCTTCCTCAAGGTGCTTCATGTCTGTTTAAACAAGATGCCATCACTGGTACAAGTTACAGCTCTGTCAATTTTTAACTTGTTCATTCATGGACAACAGACGTTCCATTATTACAATTGAGCAAAATCAAATGCTCAAATATTTCTTCAGCTATACAAATATAAAATCTATTTTATGCCAATTTGTAGGTAAGATTTGCTCAGTATTCAGTGATAGGGAAAACAATGATGTGGCCCAATAAGAGAAGCTTTACCCTGCCATTGTGTGGTCACACAGCGCTGAAATGCACACATCCATTTCCTGCTCTGTACTATGCGGTGCTATCATTTCCCCCCTGTGGTCATTTCCCACCACTAAAGACAAGAGTTAAAGACATTCTCCAAAGATCAGAACATAATATAGAAGCCAGATGGTAGCAAGAAACACCAACCACTATGAAAAATTAAAAACTAAGACGACAAATATAAACAAGATTTAGCTGTCATCAGATATGCAAGTCACACTTAGTATGGTCAGCACTGTTGTTAGCATTGGGTACACAGTAAAAATCAAAACAATCTAAACCATCTGTTTCTGTAGGGGCCTTAGTCTTCAGCAAAGAAGATACACTAAACATTTCAAGATACAGAAGGGGGAGAAGAGGGGGGAGGAGAGAGAGAGAAAGAAAAGAATGAATGAAAATGAAAATTGTATATGAACATCTATGACAGGAAAAAACCCATAGGGCAGAAAGGAAAAAGGGAAGCTATGTCAACTTAGAAAAGCTCCAAAGCCTTTTCGTGAATGGTTCTGTGTTATGATCATGTAAACACTAAGCATGCACAAGATTCAGAAGGCACACGTAAATTAAG